TCTGATGTACTTAGTCGAGTTTCCACAACTAGTCAAAGATGGATCTATACTCTAAAGCTACAAATAACATTCATTGACAAAAGTTTAGTTTCCATATCTGTAAAGGATGAGCTCCTCTGTTTGTTTGCCTCCATGTGCATCTGCTAGTTTACCTGCTCTTGTAGAGCAAGATACATAGGCTGAAGCCAGTGCTTGCTTTCAACTAGTAAGCGACAACATATTTCAGTGTGACTCTACGAAGGTGAGAGGAAAGAGATTAAATTTTTGTCCTTGAATATGAAATCCATCCTAATGACTCTACTCTTACGCAGGCTGACGTCATAATTGTCTATAGTTCAAATTGACTAATATTTCTTCTCATTTAACTTCGTAAAACATCCGAAGCGTTTGACATCTGTCAAATAAAGCCTGAATTGTGTGTACGAAGGATGTACTTCTTATCCTTATCTTTACCGCGACATTATATCATTATTACTGCTATTATTTTGTTTTATTTCGTTACTGAAAATATTTATGTCTTTAATTATTCCATAAATCCTCATGATTTTATTTGAAATGCTTTCAGATATCACTTCATTTAACCCCTTATATACCATTAATTATTGTCAAAAAAAGAATTATTATACTCCATTCACATTATAACTCATTGCTACCTCATTACTTTTATATAAACTTTATTTGCACACGGTCAGTCTCTTATTGTTATCACTTACACTTGATAATCTAGCATCAAAAGCTTTCTAATACACTATCAGGTTAATTCATTGTTCATATATATCTATAATTCTAGAAACGAGAGACCTTCATTGAACTTAGTGTTTTCATCTTATCATAGTATTAGATTGAAAATCTTTCAACTACTCTTTAAAAATTAAAAATAAACAGTGTAGAAGTTAATTTCAATTGAAAACTCTGACAATCTAATCTTTATTCATTGACCTGGAAAATTTAGAATTACTACGAAACCTAAAGAATGAAAATCGGATCCTATATGAGTCATTTAGATGAACAGTTATGTTTATTTAAGACTATATTAAAATAGTTTTACAATTCTTTCTAGTTCAAATGATTCAATAAATATCACTTAATGTTAGGTAATTACTTTTAGAAATCTCCTCTTGACGTTTTACTTGATCTATGTATATTCATTCATTAACAAGTTACCATTATGATTTCATTCCCAGTTTGTTAAATAGTCAAGAGGAAAAATGTATGCATATTTATCTAGTTTATTGCATAACTATGATTAATCGATATAGTTGAATACTGTAAATACACTAAACAAAAAAGCATATTACAATAAATTACATTAGAACTTCATTTTATTTTAGAATCACTTCAGTTTTCAACATTAAAGTATTACTCATAACCTTATCATTTAAACAGTCTGAATTATTTACTCGGTTAACTTAGGACTGTGAGAGATTTTTTATCTGATGAGTTAAGCATACACAGTTACACATATGAACATTAGGATAAACAGATACACACACTATTGAAAGCAACCATAAAACTCTGTAATTGTAATGTAGAATTAAATGCTTTTTTACGATCCAATTTCTAAATTTAATTGTTCATACTGAGAAAACGATTACATAATCATGTCAGTCTTCAAAAACAAAAACATGAAGGAAACACTCGATACTAAAAAAATTAAATTAATTAAATTTTCAAGTCTATGCCTGGTTTTTATTTTTGGTACATTTCAGACCATATAAAGAACAATCAAATGTGATGTATTATAGACTGGTCGGTATTAAAGAAAAAAAAATCAGACTACTGTTCTTATGGACAAATTCCATAGAAAAACTAATTCGTAGTGGTATCAGTGATTTAATACACTTTCATTTATTTCATATATATATAGTGAATAAATAGTTCAGTTGTTGCTAGATTTGTCCAATAGTTTATGTCCGTGAAGACCATGCTAATAGTTTGTGCATGAGATAATCTTCAAACGTAATGGTTTAATGTAATCAACTATAAGCTTTGGACCTAGGTTTTGAACTATTCGACACTCTTCAGCCAGATGTATCTATAAGTTTGAGGACTCTGATGCTCCCTAGAGCATTTGATCGCGTTTAACCCAACTTCACAGTTGAAGAAATTACCACTAAGCTGAAATTGATCTCCTGTAGGACTGAGATGCATTTACAACTGATTAATCACTGGATGGTGAATAATTTCATTTGTGTCAGATTCTCGCTAACGAGTGCTAAATAGCACGAAACCTAGATCTAGGGTTTCCTGACGACTACATTCAACCACCAACCTACGCTTCAACATAGTGCACGCGATAATGAATCACTTAGGCTGACAGAAAATTGTAATCTAGTCGTTAGAATCCAATATGCACTACGAAGCATATGACACACATGATCAACCCAATGATCAACCAATTGTAAATAATTCATTTAAAGTTGATATTGACTACAGTCTATAAGAACTCATTATTATGATTTCTCTGGCCAGAGAATCACATGGTAAAATAAACGAAATCTCTGAAAGAGACCATGTCTGTTTATCTTAGATAATTGTGCTTGTAACCGAACTAACTAATCAATAATCTGTAAAAAATTATTGTTAAAGAGAAAGCTGTATAATACTATGGTTTTTGACACGGACTTCAATGATATTTAACGTAACTAATGATGCCTTGTTTTCGTCAACGTCTATCGACCATAAATTCTAGTTTTACTCAATTGAATTCTGTGTTAATTAAATCACAAAGTTTATGTCTTTTATGATAGATGGATTTATTTTTTAGATAATTTCATGTATAAGCTTAAACTAAGCCTTTTTGTTTTATTTGTTCCCTTGTATTATCTATACTTATGTTAATTTCAATTCTGTTATTTACTTTCTTTAAAGAAAAAAATTACACAATGTCACAACATATCAGTAATTCAATTTTCTAGTCAGTGATATATTACAAATATACCATTGTTTTATTATTATAAGTACCCATCCCCCAAATGTTCAATTTATTTGAAATTATGAAGTCAAATGTTAGTAATGATACTTACATAACTGTCATATTCTGTACAAAATATTTTGACTTAGAAATACCTATTCATATTTGTAAGCTGTTGATTTTTGCATCCAAATACAACAATTGTTGAGATGGTGGAGAAGATTTGTAGCTTAGGTGAATGATTTTGATAAAGTTTTGTTCTCTGAGCTGGATGGTTTGGTCATGGAGCTTTCATCGTTCTTCTAAACGACATCATCAGCAAAAACTTCAGATAGAAGTGAAGTGTTCGAATTGTTCTCAGAGAGTAAACTATGATCCACTATTGAATTGTTGATCATTTTATTTTTGTTCGTAAAGACTTCTTTTTAAGATCGTTGAATACAATTGTAGATAAATTAATTGGAATAAATATATTAACAAGAATATAAACTTTAAACAGGAAAACAAATTTCTTTATATTATTATCAATACTTACAATTTACTGTGGAAAATCTTTTCATTTTACTATTATTGGAATCAGGTAAAGTTTAAATTAAACTGGTGTTGTTTAAGACTACAACTGATCAGTCACTTGTTGGCATATATGCATCCTATACAGATTGCCTCGATATTGCCTTAAATCACAATGGGAAGATACAAGCAAACAACACCAAGTAAATTTAAACTTCACCCCATCGTACAAGCATTTGGCTATCAGGACTTAATAGCTAAGTAGATAACACGATAGCGTTCAAATGCCAGAGTGAATATAAACTCTAGGATGCAGGTACATCTAGCTGATGAGTCTCAGATAAGACGAAACATGCGTTGCAGATTCCACTCCTATCTACAATCCCTGTTTGCTTATAAAGCATGTAAAGTTTACTTGAGAAATCAAATAAATTCGAATAAATAATAAAATATTGAACGAAGTGTTTTTTTCACTATATATTTCTATGTTTAAATGGTTCAACATAATTTATGTTCGAAATTTAAATATCTTAAATAGTTTTCAATTTTGCGCATGCTCTTGTTCAATGTTCAATTCTAGTAAATGTAAAGAATCTTCAAAAAAAGAAATAATAATAATAACATTTAAAATACCGATACAAAATAGTTTTCTTAGTTGATTTCACATTGTTTAACAAATATTTTCAATATACATTCTTTTAAAACATAATTATCTTTTAAATAAAGGAAAGTACTATTGAATACGAAAAACTATATTTTATAAAGTAAGATAAACAGTTTATCCAAAGTTGAATTTTATTTCAAGAAAAAAATAATATTGACTAATGAAAATGATAAAAGTATGAGTATCTATGACAACACAAAATCTTACATAGTAGAGAAGTTGTACCTGGTTTTAAAGCATCATATAAAAGCTTACAGTTATACTTCTATCTGAAGATTTTTCTAATAATGTAGTCTATAAAGATAGTGATAGTTGTATGGTTAAGCCATCTAGATCAGAGAGAACAACTGTACTCAATCTTACAGGTTTTATCTAATATCACTTTCCTTTAAGCTTAATTCCTAATTAAGACATTCAGTACAAGTGAGTAAATATAGTATAGTCACATGACGCTTAATTAAGTTAACATTGTACTATGCTTGAATGTTATATTCGTCATTTATATGCTGTAAATACAAATTTCATTTAAATGTTTACTGAACTATTACTAATATTCTGACATTTGTATGTTTTACAGAATTTTAGATTAAGATAGATGGTAAATGATTTTCATGTGAACATCAGTTGAAATACATTTTCTTGTTCGAGTTCGTGATATTTGATTTCGTAGATGCAAGTCACAATACTGATTTGTAATTATATTAGAAAATGACTAAAAGTAATCTCAGTTGGTGATTTTTAATGCTTAAAGTTCTGAGTTTAATTCTATCATCAGTTCCAATACTGTGTAACTTTAAGGATGTCGAAATAAGAAGTTGAATGACTTGAACATTTCTATATACAGTAGGCAATTGAAAAGTTATTACCATCATGAAAAATATTATAATAATTCTGTTCCTTTTGTCTTTGTAGGTATTTACATATCAGGTGTTCCACATGTTGATTCTTGTTCTTGGAAAGCACCGTGGAATCAAGTAACGAGAGAACAAAAACGATATTTACGCAATCGGTATAGCATTCAGTGTGGCATATGTCAAGTAAGAGGACACATTATATAATAAATGAATACAGTTTATGTGTGTTTTTTTTCATTTTGAGTATTCAGCATGAACAGATAACAATTGATAAAAAAATGAAAGAAATGAAACAAGTTTTACTAACTACAGAAATATGGTTGAAATACATTATTGCTAACTCCAAGCTACTAATGTATTTGTCTATCGTACAATTTTCAAATCATCCTGTCAAATAAGTCAAAGCAATATCAGATAAGAACTAACATCTGATTATTGCAAACCATTCAATGTTACAAAATAATCATATGGAGTAACACAACACCGTAATAAAGTCAATTCTAAATGTTCAACCTGAAAGCAATGTGTAATATGTTATTGTAAACTTAAATTTTATATTAGACAAATGAGCTGAATATCATTTATGAAATCTTAATAAAAATACTAGATTATTTATAAGAAATTTTCTCACTGAAGCTAGTTCAGTATAAAATAGGGAATAGGCATTTTTAATGTATCAATAGTCTGATGAGGAGTGTTTCTCTTTAAAAACCGAAAGTATTCTTAGATCCAAACTTAATTGCAATTTTACAAGATCATGATCTTTAGAAACAATTTTCTTTTCATTTCACTAATTACTTCTATTACATAGGCTTTTAAAAAATTGTTGGCCCTCATTACCTGTTATCTCTTTTACTACAATGCTTCCTATTTCACTGCTTAAATTCTAACATTGAATTACAACTGTTTATCATGAACTAAACAGTGATTTTTTAGTCTAGACCTAATAAAATGAAGATTTTCATGGTATGTTTCTACAATATTTCTGACTAAGAAAAAACTAGTCCATGATGGTGTACATGGTCTTAAGCATTATGGTGTTTCAACACGACTTATGGAACATAACTCAGCTTTATTTACTTTCCTGTAATACTTATAAAGAAAATTTTAAACCATATATCATTTTTATCAAAGACTAAGTAAAGGAGAAACTTATATAGGAAGGACTGAATGCCCTTATCCTGATGTAATTATCATTGATGTGTTCTTTAGTTTGCATAGCTACAGATTATTTTATCACGTTACATTTTGACTAATGAATATGCATCTTTATTAAGAATGCTGATCAACAATCAATAACTTCCTAAACTGTACTCTTAACTTCTTATGGTTATTTTTACCACTTTTAGAATAGACTTTCTCCTTATACAGTTTATGTTTCGTGCATTGATGGTGAATCATCAATCGGTACACATGATTTAAGTAACCTGGTAGCCCTACAATCTCACCGAGCAATTTGTCTTTTTTGTGTAAGATTTGAAGCCTGAGAATTAGGGACAAAATTTAAATTCAGAATATGACCAAATTTGAAGAATACAATTCATTTTAAAATTATTAGACAATAGTTCAATTCCTTCGAATAATATATCAAGCTAATTTGTTTGACAAACAAGTATGGTACAAATGTAGTTGATTGTAAATAAAAAAGATATTTGGCATTCGGACGACAATCGTTTTCCAGTTAGATACTGAAATTTTTTTCAAACTATTCAAAACAAATTATTTATCTCATATTGAATGTAAACATTAAGGACAATTTATTTGTAGAAATATACTTCTGTAGGAATAGCACAGGTTAAGGACAGAAAATGAACATTGTTTAACCTTACACACAAATGTTTAAAGCATGTTTTATTCTGTTACGAAATAATTGATTTTTGTTTGTAGGAAAAAAATGACTACAAAAATATGTGAAGAAGACAACACAGGAAAAACATTTTTATATATAAACAACAGCCATGAGAGTAACTGAAAAATTGACGAGTTGTTTTAAAGCATTCTATTACATTCGTAATACTCTTTCTATCAATTTCTTTCTTGATGGTTCGCTACTTAAAACTATTTTAAGCACACAAAAACAGCACAGCTAAACAATATAGGGAGGATGTAACTTCGCAATTATTAACTGTTAATTCATTGTTATATTGTTTGTTTGAATTTTCTTATTGATGTTTAGAACTGTAATTGATCAGTCTCTTGTTGACATATGTGCATCTTGTACTGATTGCCTTGATATTGCCTTAAATCCCAAACATTATAAGTAGATATGGATGGTGGCTAGCAGAGGAATCCAGGACGTGCGTCTTGTCCCGTTTAGGAGTCGTCAGTTGAACGTGCCTGCATCACATAATTGATGTTCACTCCGGATCTAGAACCCATTTTGAAGTGAACGATACTAATTTCGAATCTTGGAGTAAGCATCAACTATGGGATGTAGGTATATCCAGCCGATGAGTCCGAAATAGGACGAAACGCGAGTCCTAGATTCCACTGCTAGCCAGTATCCATCTTTGTGAAAATTGTTAATTCGTGGGTTTTCTAGTTGGTCAAATGAAATATTATTCCAGTGAACGAGAACACAAGTAAAGCCAACCAAATGTGTTTGAATATAAAATTTATTCGATCTTCTTAACCTTCGGCCACCAGGCATGTCACTTTCGATTGATGATACATACTACTTATATCTGTCGACTTCATTGACACACACCGCATTATTATTGTGTTTTCGCTTCAAATTTTACATAAAAAGTCAATCTGTGGTGAAAATACCAATTAAATTTCCATGCAAAGGGAGCATATAAAAAAATGAACAAATGAAAAAGAAAACAAATACTCTAATTGATAAATTCAAAAATTTTGATATTTGCGTTAATATTATGGTGTTATGGTTAATTCATTTAGTGGAATGTTTTACTTAGTCAAATTATTTAAGCCTCATCTATGAAATATGCCAATTGTTTTTCAGTACATTATGTTGTTAAGCTTGATGATAGCATGTTACGTTAGAAACAGTCATTATTCGACAAGCCATTGTTATTCAAGATCACTTATCAGATAAATCATAACGACTTTACTTTTGAATATCTTACTTAAGATAAAAAGGATTGAAATATAGAATTACACACGCCAGTGACTTCATATCAAAATTGATTGAATGTATTAGCTGAACAGTGAGGATTAAATAGTGTGAAATCGAAACACAAATAATACTTGAACGGACAATTATTTTCAATAATTTCATCATCTGGCTCTACAGTTATAAGTTCATTATTATTGTAGTATTTTACAAAGGCCAAGATAAGACATATAATAATAAATTTGACAATGTTATGTGTTTAAAATGGTGAACTTTTATATCTGTTATGGGATTAATGCTTCAAAATAGTATCATTCGTAATTTGGGAAGGTCATTTAATAAAGGTCAGGATGACTGGTTGTTAGATGTCAAACTATAATCAATAAAATGGTAATACAATAAATCGTATGAACAAAACGTACAGTAGGAGAATTTTGTTTCGTTATTTAGGTATTAATAATAATGACACCTCTCATATCACACAATAAATACACAACGTTATTTTCATTAATAATATTATTATTACTATTATTATTTCTAAATTCCGTATCATACAATTTTGAAGTGTTAATCCCAAAACAGATGTAAAAGTTCACCATTTTTAACACATAACATAACTTCTATCTGAAGTTTGTGCTGATGATGTCGTTGGAAAGAAGGGTGAAAGCTCCACGACTGAACCATCCAGCTCAGAGAAGAAAACTACATCAACATAACATTTTTAAATTTATTAATATATGTCTTATCTTGGTCTTTGCAAAATATTACGATAATTATGAACTTATAACTGTAGAGCCAGTTAATGAGGTTATTGAAAACAATTGTTCGTCCAAATATTCTTTGTTTTTGAATATTCTATGGGGATTTTCAATATAAAATTGCTTACTACCAATTTGTTGAAATATTTCAATCATATATACCAATCAAAACGCTAACAGCTCAATGGTAACGTTGCAGACAGCCTTGATAGTGATGGAGGTCAATGACTTTGAATGTAAATCAGTTCTCTGAGGTTAAGAGTTTCATTTTAACTATTTTGAAGCATTTAATTCTAGCTTTGCAATAAATCACTGTATGTTGTTATTGTGTTTGTAGCCTATTCGATAAGCCCAAAAGTAAATAGACTTAACCAGATAATTAGATCAAATAGATCATGAAAAGACGCATTCACCTAGAACATTAAGCCATCAATAAAATAATTATCGTTTAAAGAAAACCTGTTTATTGTTATACGTAGCTGTATCTTACATCAACCGATTTAAATAAAACTAAACTATATAATAATTTTTTCAGCAAATATTATATGGTTCATGCATATAAGATTACCAAAATATTTAAATTAATAAGTGAAGCCAATATTTCATGGAATGCTATTCCTTTTGCTTCAAACATATCTGTACATGGACGCATGATCAGAAAAAGTACCTTAATGCTGAAGTCAGTAATTTAGCTTTTCACAAATCCATCAAATTACAATGAATTTTATTATCAGAAGGGGTTTTGTGGAGATTTTAGTAATTTCAGTAGTTGAAATCATGAGTCAATTGAAGCTAGACCACCATGCAAAACTTGGAAGCACTGGACGGCCGTTTCTTCTTAGTATGGGACTCCTGAGCAGACAATGGTGTACGGTGGCGCAATTTCGTGAATTGGTTGAAGTTAGACATTAACACCGTTGGATGCCAAGCCAGTGGTCTAATGGTTAAGCGCTCGCGCGCGCGACTGGTAGATCCTGGGTTCGGATCTGCCGGCGGGCGAGATCGTGGATGTGCTATGCTGAGGAGTCCCATAATAGGATGAAACAGTCATCCAGTGCTTCTAGGTTTAACATGGTGGTCTAGCTTCAATTGACTCATGAATTCAACTATTTAATCACTAAAATGTTTACAGGACCTCCTTTTAATAAAAAGCTTGTCATTTAATAAGCAACTTTTTGAAATATAAAACTATTGAAATAACATGATTTCATAAATTACCATCTAAACATTATGGTTATGTTCTTTCAACATTGGTTTTGTTCTCCTTTAATTCTTTTTTTTTAAAAATGTTTACCTGTAATTTTCTTTTGTTTACTAGTTACAAAGAGTATTATTTGTTGATCCAATATATCACCGTAATCCAAAAACATGTTATTTACCAATTAGTCCAAATTCAAATGAAATGATGTGTAGAGATAAATTTTCATTGTGTCGTTTACAAAGAAGAACTAATCGATGCAATTTTATAAATAATAAATCGTATCGTATATGTGAAACATGGTCAACGAAACATATTTAATCCATCACTTTTTTATTCTTCTAAAAAATAAAAATATTGTTCATCTTTTTGATTCTCATATTCATTTAACTATTGTATAACAATTCATACTACTAATAATACTACTAGTAATATATGTTGTAAATACAGAACAAAATATGCATATATATATATATATATATTTTTTTTAAAGAAATAGAAGCTTATTAAATTGAATTGCACAGATATCTTTATTTAACTTCATTTATATGATTTATATTCCCATAAATTTTATTTATATTTTCACATTCCATAGAATATAATCTTATACAAAATATTGAAAAAAATATGTATCATTTACTTTCTTCTTGTATTGTTTTTCTTTTATTAACTATCCCCATTACCCTTAGAAACTAGATTTACATATATATATATACAATATCAAATGGTGTTGAACTAAGTTAATATAAGAGAATGTATAAAATGTATGCATGTATGTATGATTTTTATTTATTTACATACATTTCATTGTCTTTAGAATAATCTTTCTATTTGGCGCCTTTCTTCAATAATAATAATAATAATAATAATAATAATAATAATAATAATAATAATAATGACAATAACAATACCTATTGTTCTTCTTTCTTTTAGATTTAAAAAGAAACAAACTTTCTGTACAGAATATTCTGTTTTCTAAAAAATCTTTATTCATAATTTTTATTTAATGTAATAAAACAAATTAGTTCTGTATAATATAAACTTATTATTGTTTAAATTAAAATGAAATAATATAAAACTGAATTAATCGTTAATTAATTAAGTGAAACTTTTAGTTTATTATTATTAATTTGAGTGAAGTTACTTTGACAAATTTTTTTTTCAAAATATATATCTTCATGGTAAACTCAACTTTACTTGTAGATCTTCCAGAGTTATTGACGGTCCTAAGCCCGTACAAAGAAGGAGCGGCCTATGCTCCTTCATGAGGAGTAACAGGTGTAAGTAAATAAGTAAGAATGGTAAACTCGTTGAAAGATAATGAGTACATGGTGGCATTAAGCCCTAACTACACAATCATCAAAGCTGAACACGAGACAATCGAAGAAATAGATGTTCAACATTTAACGCGGAGAAAAAAATTCAACGATGGAGAAAGTGGAAAGAATGAATTGAATTAATTAGAATTGATCAGATGGCATGGCTCGATCATGCAGGCGTGGTTCCTATTGAATATTATCTTATATCTTTTATTCATATTAAATATATTGTTCTATCTCTAGCCTAATCTTGTTCTCCATCATATATTGGTGATTGTTACGATACGAATGAGTCAGGGTAGATAATGATGTGACATTCACGTAAGATCTTATATATTAAGCAGTTACATCATGATAAATCCACAATTTTATAATCAAATCTATTATTACGGCAGTAATAATATCATATGGAATATTATACACAATGGTCTAAAAGAAATATGATTAACAAAACTGTAATTTAAAAGTGACCAAGTAAGTCGATAATCACCTGATTTATTACTTCAGGAATGAATTATAAGTAACGTTAACATGCATTACACATTCTATTCAGTGATCTCGTTTTGTAAAATCAATAATGCAAAACATAATTTCTGTCATATTTACAAAAGACATAATCTAAGTTTTTTTGGAATACTTAGATGTGGACAATAAAGATTCTACACAAAACTGTTCAAAAAGCCTTTGTGTCCCGTGAAAAACAGTATAGTATTGAGCCATTATTTCAATATCCACTAGTTTAAATATTTTAATCTTGTCGTTTTGTAACACACTATTAAGATCATCCAATGTTTGCCTTCTTTTCAAACATGACTTTTTTGAAATTCAATAATTCATATATGATTATGATTTGGTTCAGTGCTTTGTTAAAGTTTTATTCTTCCATTAATCTCTGATATATATATATATATATATATATATATATATATATATATATATATATATATATATATATATATATATATATGTATTCGCACAGATTTTCTCAAATTCAGCATTTTGAAGAATTAACCTTTATTTTAACATTAAAATAATTGTTCGGAACATATCAAATAAACCGGCGATAGATTTCATTTCATTTCTAAGCCCACCCAATCACTGTAAATAGTAAACGATTCCTGATAATACGTGACGCACCCTTCATTATTTAACCGAATATCATGCTACTTACCACAAAAGAAACAAAAAGTAGAACCTTTTAAATAAGCAATATAGTGATTATTTTTCAATTCCGTATATTTCATTCACAACTCATTTGAATTTATACAATTTCATGAATATAGAACCTAAAATATACTTAGTAGAATTTTCTCACTACATTTAGTAAGTTAATCAACGCCATGGAAAGAAAACCTATTTAAGATTATTAAAATAAATGGACATTCAAAAACAGTAATATTCAACTATCATTTGGAACTAATCCACCTTCTTAAACTAATATTCTTTTTATGGAACCCCGCTATTATTACAACATATTTTAATCTAACTATAGACTAGAACATCCAGATTTAGTGTAATAAAATGAATACCTCAATATAGATGCGATCTGTATTACTAAACTAGGTTCTAACTGATATTTAAGCTTGAACGTATAATGAAGGTCTATTCTTCGTAATACATGCTACCATGGGTATAATAGAAGGATATTCATTGATTGTTACATGTCTAGCTATAACCGAAACTTTTACGATCAAGTTTTTATATTAATATAAAAGTGGGGTATTCCTAGAACATAGTTAGCTAAATCTTTGATTATTCGGTAAATTTCATCTTCCAATAATCACCTCGTTCTCACAGATTTCTAGAGTATATCGCTTACTTATGCTGACAGATATAAAGTAGTATGTGGTAGCAATCGAAAGTGGAATTACTACTAGCAAAAGACTGGAATGAAGAGAAAAGAAAGGAACTTGAAGAGCAACCAAAACAACAACAGAATTAGCGGATTGGTGAAGTATGTAAAGGATAATGCAAAGAAGTCGTGAAACGATGTATTTAATGTATGATTTTCATATTTCACTAAGCTACTGAGTGTTTTTGCCTTGAACAACGCATCAGTTTTTCTCACCGGAGTTCTCGTACATTACAATATTTGTGTGAATAACAGGGATTTCTTCCGATTAAATTTAGAGGTCACAAGTAAGTTACTAATTAATGGTGACCTATTACTATACTTTACTAGAGTTTGTCAGATAATAACTAAACATGTTCACTCATTAAAACCAAAGTGAAATAGTCTCTGAAAAACAATCGGTAATTTGTATCTTTAGACAAAACGGATATCAAAACTTATAGAAGGATCAGTGAAACTTAAATTTATGGACATGAAATTTGATCTTGACATCTGATGCAGATGTGAAGGTGTGGATAGGCAAAGCAAGAGCAGCATATCTACAAATGAAAAAATTCAAAACTCAAAACAACTGTCAACCAACACCAAGGTCAGAATTTTCAATACAAATGTCTAGACAGTTCTACTGTATGGGGCGGAAACTTGGAGAAACACGGAAGCCATCATCCAGAAGATACAAGTGTTTATTAACAGATGTTTACGCAAAATACTTCGGATCCGTTGGCCGGACACTGTTGGAAACAACCTACTATGAGAAAGAACAAACCACATTCCAGAGGAGGAAGAAATGAGGAAGAAGCGCTGGAAGTGGATAGGACACACGTGGAGGAAAGTACCGAACCGTATCACAAGACAAGCCCTCACATGGAGTCCTCAAGGCCGAAGTAGGAGAGAAAGTCTAAAGAGCACATTACGCCGAGACAGATATGAGAAGAATGAACAAAAATTGGATGGAACTAGAAAGGGAGGCCCAAGACAGAGTGGGTTGGAGAATGCTGGTTGGCGGCCTATGTTCCATTGGGAGTAACAGACGTAAGTAAGTATGTATGTAATATATTTCTTTGTATGTAAGATTTCCAAGAATAATCCAGCACATTTTATACAACTGTTCTAAACAAAATTCTTTAAGTTTTCATTTCCTCTTCTTCAAGTTCAATCAAGCATTTACCTAATTATTACAACATGTTACAATTTATTATTAATATTACTATTATTATTATAAGAAGAACTAATGAACGTAAAATACACTGGGTAATTTTTTATTCAGTTTGTTTAATGATTGCATGAATCAATGATTGAATTACACTTTGAATGAAAACGAAACAACAAAACAAACCGTCTACTATCCAGACACCTATTCAAATGATGATTTAATCATTTTAAAGTGTGTATAAAATTCATTTTTATTTTATTTAGTTATAATTACTACTGAAATTTGTCTTTATATGATTCTTATTGTATAAATTAACTAACATAAAATCTAAGTGTTTAACAAGTTGATTTAATCTAGAATTCTAATTGGACTATTAAATACTGATTACTATTAAACTTTTTTTGTAAAAAAAAAACGAACACTTCTTATTAAACTATTTAAGTAGTATTGTGTTGTAGGTTACTTATATCCACACAAGTAGTACATAACGGTCGTCAGGCATAGAATATATTTTAGCAAAAGATCGATCAAGAAAGAACAGAAACGGAACGCAATCGGTATGAAAATGCATGAATAATGAAGTCTGAGACAATGGATTGATGTTTGCAACAGAAACAGTTAAGTTTAAGACGATGGATTGATATTTTGCAAATTAACTATTTACTATATGGTTCTCAGACTTTATTGAGATGCTTTGTAATGTCGTGTCGAATACATTCGATTGTCCCCAGTCGTGCTTTTGTTCACTACAGCATCGTTTGTCCAACATATAAATCAATAAGTATATTCTTTTTGTTTTGTGAATGAATTCTAAAATATTTTTTAAATTTTTTTTGTATTTGTTAGTTTTTTTTCCTAAATGATAATCTTTTGTTTCAAACTTTGTTTCTATTTATATGAATAAATAATTTAGAAATTTGGTAATATGTACATCGATGTTTCTCTGTATTGATAGGGCAAACTTAATTGTAGAGTTATGAAGTGGAAAATGTCTGGTGTGTGACAAAGTCTCAGCACGGATACAGAAGGCTCGATTAGTTTTTACCAACTTGCCTCATTTGTGGCGTAGGCGAGATATCCGTCTATCAACCAAAGGACGGGTTCACTGCACAGCGATTCGTTCTGTTCTACTTTATGGCAGTAAAACATGGCCGGTAAGAGTAGAGGATATTCGTAGGCTACTAGTATTCGATCATAGGTGTCTTCGAAACATTGCTCGTATATCCTGGGACCATCGAGTAAGTAACGCAGTTGTTAGGAAACGGGTACTAGGTAAGGATGGCAAATCCATTGATGAAGTAGTGAAACTTCATCAGTTGAGATGGCTTGGACACGTGTTACATATGCCCAATGACCGACTGCCTCGACGTGTGATGTTCAGTGGTATAGGAGTAGATTGGAAGAAAGCCTCTG